ATGATTTTTCTTTTATGTACTATGAAACATAGCATTAGAATTCAGGAAGCTACAAGTTGAAGCATGATGCTGGTGAACATTTTACAAAATACCAGTAGGGTGTTGTTACCTAAATACACATGGAGAAAAGCACAAAAAAGGAGTCAAGTGACATTTCAGTTGTTTCAGTCCCAGGTCACGTCTTGAGAAAATTGCTGAAATAATGGAGGGGGCATTTTTCAAGCAGAGCTGCAGCTCCAACAGCTATGTTTACTTTAACGCTTCACTAGTGACTTCTGATTGGTTGTCATGACCTCATCTCACTATTGCACCTAGGATATTGCAACAGTGACATATACATACCCCTCCTGTGAAAAAAGATGAGAGTAAACATAACATACATCTTTCACAAAAGATGAATGGACAGTGGTTTGTCTATTTTAGCCATGGGTAGATGCTATATAAAGATAAAATACTTTAGGTTTCATTTCCCTTGAGGATGAGCACCTATCTTGTTTCAAACCAAGTAGACAGAATGTTGAACTTGAAAAATTTGATTGATAAATCTATGTAAGATGATCTCTTGCAGAACTTTGTCCAAAGACCAAAATGGGTAGTTCTATAGGTTAAAGGATTCCACTGGAGAGGCTCCTGACCTCTCCAGTCACATGTGACTGCAGTATTAACAGGTTAATATGCAGAACCAAATACTTTCAGCTGATTTTGCATGTGGCCAACCACAAGAAATTTGAAAAGATGCAGAATTTGTCCCTATTTTCTGTTCTCCTTACAATTTGTACGTAAAAGTTAAGTTAACTTAAATAATTCTTTAGGTTTTGTTTCCCCCATTATCATTTGTGATCAAGTGTAATCTGATTTTGGTCAGTCCCTTTTTAAATTTATCTATTTGCAAATTCTTACTGATAAGCGCATTTCTGTTCCGATTTAACTCTCTAGCAAGTTTTCCCGCTTAGTTCTGTGAATTTGGCATCACCTGTCTGTTTTAGACCTGAACCAAGCCAATATTTGCTGATTGAATGATAAACTAACTATTGTTTATTAATATGTTCATTTAGAGACTCCAAAGTAAAGAAGGGTGAGGCTGGGGCCTGTATATTTAATTTACAGGAAGTACTTGTGCTGAATAAAATGCTATGTCTAGTAGTAAATTTTTGAGGATTTCTTATTAAGGTTACATTGTTTACACAAGCCTCAAAATTAAAATACAGTTATATATACAAAAATATAGAAGGTGGGATGAGTTAACTCTTACTTTTACGGTATCTGTCCTCTTGAACTAACCTAAGAGTGATCAAACCTAAGAGTTAATTAACAACTCTGTGTATGCTTTGCCTATTGAAATATTGGATATTGGATTTAGTTTGAGTAAATCATTATAAAAGATGCTAAGAGTTTTGTTTATTTAGTTGTAAAATGTTAGATAATCAGTTTTATCATGTTTATTTAAAGATAACAGAAGTTTCTGTGTGTGTTTCAATGGCCTACCTTATCATCCTGTTTGAAATTTAGCATGCTTAAGGAATAATTAAATATGAAAAGAACATCTCAATATAGTTTTAAGATTTTAACCCTAAATTATGAAGCATTTTTTCTTAGAGTGGTAGCGAACAGTTCTTTTATGATAATATACTAACTGTGTTATCTTATCTTGTAGTTGTATAGAACTTTGTAGACACATTCATTAAAGGGCGTATTAGCAACTTTTTAAAACTTATTTTGCTGTGTATTTAGTGAGGTAATGAGAATAAAATTACTTTGAAAAACTGCATTGTGATTTTTAAAGATGTAATTTTTACTTAAAAGTTGTTTGCTGAATTTTATTGCTTTCATTCTTTAGTTTTTATATACTAATGATTATATTTCAAAATCTTTTTACCTTACATGGGAGTTTTTTTGATGTTGTGATGAGAAAAGGTGGAAGAAATGAAATTTTACTGTTTATCTGATGTTGATCCAGTGTAGGTGGAACAGTTTATTTTGTTGCATCTTCTTTCTCTTCCTCACTATAAAATGGATATAAATGTTCTGCATGACTATTGCACCAATTATATTATCAGTAAAATTTTAGTTGAAAAATACTAGTTTTTATGGAATGGTAATTTAATTTTCAACAAAGACAATTACTAAGAATGAACACTCATTTCTGCAGAAAATCTTCCTGGACAATTCTTATGATTAATTAAATTGGTTGTCAAAAATATCTAAAAGATAAAATATTTTCCAAATAATTTAGATGTTCAAAGAGAAACATTCATTTTTTGAAATCTAAATGATAAAATTTTTAATTTGTTTATATCGTGGTCATTTAAAAATAGAATCATTTTCTTCTGTTGATGCTTCAGTGAAAAATTGACACTTTTATAAAATCTAACAAATGAGTCATGTAATTCTCAGTTACATAATCAATAATTTAGACAAATACTACCTCCTTCATGATTTATGTGTGTCCATTTTTTATAATCTAGACTGGACATACCAAATTTCAAAGTCTATTTAAAATGAAGTAGGGACAACAGTTTTAAACTGTAATTCCTAAAAATCAAAGTAAAAACTCAGGACTGATATTATGAAAATATTTATACTACTTAAGTTATGAATTGGTGTCACAATTTTGTAATTCTGGTAACTATAAACTTTGCTCAATATGGCCCTTTATTTGGAAGTCATTCAATATGCAAAAACAGTTCTTCTCTTATATCAGCAAAATTTAACTTTGTTACCTTAAGTTTGAAATTTTTGGTGTTATTACAATATAGTATAATGTTCTTTGCAATTTAAGAATTGGACCATTCTATTTGGGATTTGCTAGCTTGATCTTGTGTATGAATATGAGAGGCTCTGTGTGTGTGTGCGCGCGTGCATGTGGAGACATATGGATGTATGCGCGCGTGTGTGTGTGTGTGTGTGTGTGTGTGTGTGTGTGTGTGTGTTTAAGTTCCATTCACTCGGAGAAGGCAGGGAAGAAACATGACAGGAGACCACTTACTCATGGTACAGCATCTAGTAAGGAGGCAATTTTCTTTTTGGCCTATGGTGACCTTTTTTGAGTATGTTCCTTACACCAGAGACAGTGTGCTGAATGCCTCTATTGCACCCTGTTTAGCAGAGTGCAACAGTGTTCTTTAACTTACTTTTGGTGGGAGGAGAAGTTATAGCTGAAATTTGAGAAGGGCGTGAAAAGTTGTAAGAGACACAAGGAAGAGGGGTAGGAACTTCTTCAAAATGTGATTTTAATAACTACTCAAGTGTGTCCAACTGTAGAAAATCACCAAGTGACAATCTGTCTACCTGACAGTGATCACAATGAATTACAAGACTTTTGAATAGCTATACAGATTAGAATAAAGCAGAACCAAATAAAATATCTTTTGTTGTAATACTTTTGACTTACCAGCTGAGAAACTTTTTAAAAAACTCTCTTGTCCTTTGAAGCAAAATGTTTAAATTAAGAAATTTGTAAAGCATATGTAAGTCCTTCATGAAACACATTTATTTATATAAAAGTTTGATTTGAACATCTGTTGAAGAATGTGTGCTATTTTGTTAATCAGTTCTATATTATTATATAGTATTCACATACATAAGATGACTAACCAGTTCTAGTACTAAATGTAGAATTTTACTTATCCTCAAATTTCCAAGCATCATGCTTGTAGACAATAGTATAATGTGATGTGACGTGAAATTTTAAAGAATCCCAATGAAGTTTGGGAGCAGTTTCCCAAATTAGCTATAGAAAGAGCCAACCACCTGCAGCATTGTAGTGTATTTAGCAGTGAAGTAATGGAGTCCATGCTGACATTGGTTTGTTTTTACTCCTTTCGTTATTGAAAAATCTTTCAGTTGATTTGGCAAAATAAGTTAATTAAATAACTAATTTAAATTTAAACCTCAGAGAAGATTCTATGGAAATACCTTTGAAAGACTGTACTTTTTAGTAAGATGGGTATTTTATAAGCTTAATTTTCTACAACTCTTACTTTTTATCATAATATATAACATCTTTAAGTTTGACCTTATAGGATTTTACAAGGACATAATCAGAACACCCACAATACAGAATTGAATAGAACAGACAGATATATAATAGCTTCAAAAAGTAGCATTGCACGTGCTTGTCACTGGTTATTGTTTATCCTTTTCTGGTTTCTCATGGTTAGATTGTTCCACCAGTTATAAATCTCAAAAGTTTTCTTAATTATAACCATAGGAATGTTTGCCTGGTTAGAAATAAATCAGATGGGAGAACATATGTTTTAAAAACTGAAAGAAAGCCTTAATGAGTTCAATAAGCTATTTTTTAAACTTTGGAACTTGTAGTTCCTTAAATAATATGTCTTAATAAAGGGAAATTATTATAGTAGTTTCAAAAATGAAATTTCAGGATTAAAGAAATGTTTCCATGCATCATAATAGAGTATTGGTTTATTTTGTGTAATTTGTCAAATGTCCTGAAAGATGTGAGTAAAATCCAAGATGCGCAGAGACTATGTTTCTAGTAACATAAACATGTGCATTTATGGAATGTTACATCAGATTTATTGCTTTTAAATTGAATATTCTTTTTTACTGTTGAAAAATTTTAAATGCTCTCTAAAGACAATTGTAAAGAAAAATCCTAAAAAGTGTAATTTGAATTGTTAACTTCAATTTCAGTGAGGTTGTTTTTACAAAATACGTATTATAAATATTAATGTGATTTGAAAGTATACTTTGATCATTATTTCACTCACATTTAGGGCTCTGAGAGATCTGAATTTTTAATTTAGGATTTATAATATTTATGTTACAATTCTTTTTGTTCTTGCTTATTTATATATTTAACAGAAACAAGCCATTTCAAAGGACTTTTTATTGGAAAGCTTTAAGCCATAATTTTCCTAAAGAAATATTTTCTATAATATGCAACTACATTAAATTCATAAAATTTTACAAATTTTACTGTGAATTGAAATGGATTCTAAGATTAATTTATGGTACATTCTTTTATCTCAAAACAGGAAGGATATGGAGTAATAGTACTAAATCCTAATGAAAACTATATTGAGGTAGAAAAGCCGAAGATACGTGTGCAGTCAACTTCTGATTGTGCAGATGAACCAGCAGAAAAAAGGGAAAGAAAAGATAAAGTCTCTAAAGAAACAAAGAAACGACGTGATTTCTATGAAAAGTATCGTAACCCTCAAAGAGAAAAAGAAATGATGCAATTGTATATCAGAGTAAGTGAGATGACTGCTTTCTTTTATTATTTTTTTACTTTATTTACATTTTATTTCATGTACAGTATTTTGTTTATTTCTTTAGTAAACCTAATTGCTTAGATTTTTAACCATTGATATCCCATACGTATCTACTTGGATGAAATATTTTGGTTTGTTAACTGAAAATTATATAACAGGTCATTTTTATTTCATTGTGACATTTTATAGAACTGTCAGATCAGTTGCTGTTTCATGCTATATCACATGCTACGTTAAGAAAATTTTCTAAATTAATTTTATCATATGTGCAGAAGGAAGAAAACTATCCAGTCTTGGCTTCCCAACATGCCATTTCTTTACGGTATTATGATGGTTTTCCATAGGAGAGAGTATCTGTAACCTAGTAATTCTGAAACATATTAACTGCTGAATTAATAGCACCCTGTTAAAAAGTCTTCATCTTGGGTGGTAAGTTTTACTGGAGAATGATTTGTTTTCAAATGAGCAGCTATCCATCCATGATGTCTAACTTCTGAGGGAAGATAGGATGAAAAAGAGTAATTAATATCTTAATAAATATTTAAGCTAAAATAGTTCAGGGATAGTGTAATGAGGGAATTCTTGTCCTTTGCTCTTCTCTTCCCAGTGAGCCTTTGCACTTTGTAATGCTAGCAGCATGAGATCGTTACAGCAGTGCTGTTCAAGGATATCTGATTCTGTGGGGACACAAACAGTTGTATTTGCCCTTTGACATATTCCTCGTGATGTACATACTGTGCATTATATAAATGAGACAAATTTGTGCAAATTTTAAGATCCTTATTTTGGATGCTAAAAGTTTAATTTTAAATAGTAAGCCATGCTAAAAATGCTACTGAGTAAAGTAAAATAGTAAATTGATAATGTTCTTCAAAAATGAGCCACTCAGAACATTTAAATATAGACAGGTCAACTCTTAATAAATTACACTACAGAATAGGAATAATATTTTAGAATATTCAACTTGAGATAGTTTCTCATTTGGGTTAAAAGATCACTAGTGAAATATTTCCTCCAACCTTTGATGGGGAAATATGTTGCCTTCTAAATTTTTATTTTATTATATTTCTAGTAAAGACATAATTATTCTGATTTTTGGAATTTCACTTCACAAATTTGAGAAATTTAACTGAATCAAGTTATGAACGTAACATGTAAATTCCTATGATCTCCAAACTGTGTCCTGACAGATTAGCCAAAACTCTCAGTGGGATGAGTTAAACAAATTACAAAATTTAAATGTTCACAATCATGTTAGTATTTAACAAATGTTTATAATTATTCGATTAAGAGTTAATGTGAGTTTGTTTTAATGTAGTCATAGAACTTTTCTTTCCTCTGATTGTGTCAGGATCAAGATGTCACCTTCTCCATCAGTGGTCCTAAGCTTTCTGCTGCAACTATCTATGACTAAGTTAAATTTTTAAAAATTACTTCCCATACTCAGATTTCTAAAATGAGCTTTTTAAGGTCTTTGAAATACACAAATTATAAAGACTTTTCACTTGTTGATGTCAAATTCAAAGAAAAAGTGATTTGACATATTAAGGTTTTTATTCTTCTTAAAGTTTCTTTTGTCTATGACGTACAGATTTAGCATGTACCTCAAACATCTGCCTCTGGATTTATTTCTATTTCCTTTCTATCTTGTCACCATGGCTTTGATTTTTTCTTTTGTTCTCTTGTATGTGTGCATTTTCTTTACCCTGTTTTTCACAATTGCTTCATTTATCCCTGCATCTATTATTTTTCCTTACACCAAAGGAAAAAATCCCTTTATGTTGCTTCATTAAGGCACGCTCTCTTTCTCTTTGTTTTTCTGAAATTCTTTTCTTTCCTTTGCCGTCCTTGTTTTTACATTTCTTTTTCTTATATCTTTTGCTGCTTTCTTGCTTGCTTCAAGTTCCCATTGAAAGCGTTAAAGATTAAAAATAGACTCGTATACCTAACACAGCTTTGTATGTGTTAGTCTCAGTTAATGAAATGATTGTTTTCTTAACAGTTTTTCTCTTAAAGTCTGGAATTGTTCAGAATAACAGAGGTTTGAAATTCTTCAAACATACTTCTGGATAGTAAGTTTAGTTCTTTAGTGAGAAAGAGGAGAAATGGTTCTTGTTGTGTGAAATGTTACTTATTAGGTAATTTTGATCTACTCAAGGAACGTCTTTTTCCCTGTACATATCTTCAGATAACAAATGTTGACAGTTTAACTCAAAATATAGAGTATGATAGGGACAAATTAGCTTTTAGTCATATGCTTCTCAATTATTTCATTTGAAATTCTCATTTATTTCTTAGCAGCAGCCTAATTTGGTAGGTGGATCAAATCATTTTATCCATGTTTTGTAGTTAATGAAATTACTGCACATATGTTTCTCTATGTGAAAATAACTAATGAATGGAAAACCACGTGTTAAAACCAGGACTTACATTTATTATAGATTCTTGCCCCCTTTCCTCTTTACTGCATTGTTCTATCAGTTGAAAACAAAGTGTGTATCTGAAATATGAAAATTAACCTTACACAATAAAGGTATTAAATGATATAATAATACATGATGACAACAGAGGTAAATGTCTAAACAGTATATGTTCTCACTTTATTAGATCATAATGTTGATCTAGACTTATAAAGGAGGAGCCTTAAGCTCAAAAGCATTCAGAAATTTCCCTAGATCATCAGATTTTATTGTAAGCTCCATGAAGGCATCTGTGGTCTATACTGTTCAGTGATGTGCCTTCCCAGCCTATATAGGAGCTTCCTAATAAAATGGAGATAAATTTTAAATAAGATGATGGAGCCAGTATTAAAATCCTAAACTTTTCTACCACAAGTCCTAAGTTACTAAAACGTGGTACTTAATTTTCTGAGAGGAGCATTCAAACATACCAAAACAAGCACCAAACCTTATATTATTGTTCTGCCCAATCCAGTGGCCAGTATTTCATCCCTAAAATTAATATATTTGGTTTCATGAAATAATCCTCTTAGTATGATAACATGAATTTATTTGATACATTGATCCATATCTGAATATATAAAACCAGAATATCCTGTTTTCATTATCACTGTAGTCCACTAAGAGTAAAAATGGAAATGTTTTATTCTGACCTAATAGCATGTCTATTTTACACATTTGCTGTACCCTCTACATACTTCTGGTTTATGGAGTTTGTAACTTTGCTTTATGTTCTTCCCCCATTCCAAATTCTACCCATGTTGTACTGTTCATCTGAAACTTCGTGGCACTAAGACACGTAGAAATAATTAGGATTATTCAACTTATGTGGATTTTACCACATGCTATACTGAGACATTGCTAGTCTTTTTTCTCATCACTTTATTAAAATTAACAGTTTATCTTTTTTGCCCTTGCCTATAATTCTTTGAGCTAGCCTTATATATTTTGGCACTGCATGTCAATCCTTAACAATAGCAGATATGAAGAACCTTTTGCAGTAGTGTGAACTTACTGTGAGAGAACCAGAAACTGATACTAAACCAACTCAGTGGAATTTAATCCACTGGACAGAGACTAAAGCAAAAAGATTAGCCCTTAATGTAAAGATACGCAGAATAGGAACCAGCAACACAAAAATGAAACTTATTTAAGTAGCTAACTGGAGGATAAGAAGTTGTTTTCTAAAGAAAAAGAACAGTTCATAGAACTTTAGAGATTATGAGCAGAATGTAGGCAAAGGGACTTTGATGCTAATCTGTGTGACATTCAGTTGGAACTGTGTGAGCATCTCTTTCCTAAGCTCAGCGGTATTGGTGAGTTGTGCTGATGGGAAGTAAAGATGAATTAGACCCAACAGGTAAAAGAAAACAAAAACAAAAACTACTGCCGAGGATGCAGATGGGGAAAAGAGTTACATGGCCACATCAAGACAAGTCCAAATGTGGAAGAGACATTTACAGAGTGGGAATCTTGGCAGAGCCTGACAGTACACATTGAAGATACTCAAATATTTATGGATTGATTGCTTGTTGACATCTATCAAAAATCTTATTCCTTAACATGCAAGCTATTTTGTGGTGTCTAGTTTTCTGAATGATTTTTTAAGAATTCATTTGAAGTTTTACAGTTGTTCAGAAGCAGCCAATTTGGATAAACTGAAGCTTTCTTCTAGAAGATATTTTGGATGTCCAGAATGGGAATGCTTGCAGTATTAGTGAGGGCTGATAAATGTCACCCTGTCTTGTCTTCCTGTCTTATACTGATGCTGTGCTGTTGCAGTCATTTCAAACCACTATTTTAACAACTAAATTTATTTATATCACAAACAATGGCTGTTTATTTAGATTTTTTCCAGAATAGGTTGACTATTCCATATCTGAAATTTTGAAATCAAAAGTGTTTCAGAAAGCTGGATATGGTGGCACACTTCTGTAATCCAGCACTGGGGAGGCTGAGGCAGGAGGATCACTTCTTAAGTTTGAGACTAGCCTGGAATATAAATTGAGTTCAAGGTCAGCCTGAACTGTGTAGTGAAACCCTGTCTCAAAAAGTGTTTCAGAAATTGAAGGTTTTTAGGTTTGGGGTATATGGATAGACTTAACAGTTGAGCATTCCTAATGCAAAAATCCAAAATCTGAACTACTTCAAAATCCAAATTTTTTGAGCAACAAGTAACTATATATTCAAATACTTGAATGTTCCCTTTCCTTATTATCTAGTAAATAGCTAGCTTTCAACTTATGCAAGTATGTAGTTTACCCAGGCAGCTATAGAGCAGAACCCAGGCCTAAAAGTTCAAGATTAGTAAAATATAATTTTATTTTACTTACTAGGTGTACATAAATAGAAATGACTAACTAGTGGATTATGTAGCACATTTCTGAGGCATAAGTAACAGGATAAGAGATCAAAGAACTTACTCTTTTGTGTAGCAACTTTCCTTAACTATGAAATAATGTACTTGCTGGCATATATTATGGCTTATTAAGGGGATTGATTTGGTCTAGGCAATAAACA